GTTAGCTAACCAGGAAGAGTGGACTTGGTTATTACTCTTGTTCTTAATTATTAAAGAATGAAAGTCCAAAAATTGGAAGCAACTAGGACGTCCTTCAGTAGGTGAATGGATAAACAAACCATGGTACATCCATAGAATGGAGTGTTATTCAGCAGTGAAAAGAAAATATGGAGAAACTTCAAATGCAAGCTGCTAAGAAGCCAGTCTGAAAAAGCTGTATACTGTGATGCCAAGTATATGGAAAGGCAAAAATATAGACAGTGAAAAGATTAATCCTTGCCAGGGACACAGGGAGAGGGGGCAAGGAATGTATAGTCAGAGCTCAGGACATTGTTAAGGTGGTAATAATATTCTGTAATATACTGGAATGGTGGGTACACAACAAACCCCGGACTGTACAACAAAAAGAGTGAACCTAATGTAAACTGTGGATTTTACATAATAATAACATTATTCATATTGGTTCATCAACTGTGAAAAATGTGCCACAGGAATTTAACACGTTAGTAATGAGGGAAACTATGCATATGGGGGTTTCTATGAGAACTCTCTGTACTTTCTGCACAATTTTCAGTAAACCTAAAACTACTCTAAAAATGAAGTCTATTTAAAAAGAAGAAGAAGAATGAAGATCTTCCCTATCACTGACCTTTTCCTCTTCCTTGGCCCTCAGTATATCATCATTTTCAAACACCACTGTCACCTCTGAGCGGTTTATGTCATCAGGGATGTCTGCAACCTCTGTGACTTCGGTGACAATTCTTACATCTGGGATCTCTGTAATGTCATTTTCTGGAATGTCAGTGACGTCGGTGACATCAGTGACATCTGTGAATTCGGAGAAATCCACACTCTCTGTAGCACATGTAGTGTCTGGGCCTGGATACGCATACGGAGTCTGCAAAGCTGTGAATGCTGCAATGTCCATTATGTCCACCGAGCCAGTGATTTCTGTGCTAGTTGTGATTTCTGAGAGGCTTGAGACTTCTGACACTTTGGAAATTTTGTTTTTCTCCTGATTCAAGAGGTCAATGAGTTCCACCCATTGACAAAATAAGGTTTCCTGTTTATATGCAGGGGCGCAGAGCTGTAGGTAGTAGGCTCGACCGCTCACTAGCTTTACTTTAAGGCGCATATTCTTAGCATCGTGCACAGAGAGCGTCACAAACTGCAGAGGGAGAAACCTGCAAACAAAGGCAAATGTATGTCATTGGGGGATTAATTGTAGGAATGCCTTTCACTCTAAACGAACAGACACAGGACAACAGGTTTATCTCCCAGATATATCTAAGAAGGAGGAGGCGTGGGTACGGCAGTACCTTATTGTGGCTGCCATGTTCCCAGGTCTGGTCCTTACCTTTGGAGGCTCTTCACTTGGATTTTTAGTACACTGGGAGATAATCAGGCTTCTATGGACCACCTTGTCTTAATCATATTCCTGAGATTCCAATATACTAAAAAATTAGAATGTCATAGCTAAGTAATAGATTGGCTCGCAAAATAAAGATCACTTGTGAGTTCTGTGCTCCTTTAAAAATTCATTTATATGAGAGCAAATGGTCAACAATTACCTTAAAACAAAGATGAGAAGGTACAGGGGCAAGGAAGCTAGACTAATGGAAATAGAACCACTAGAAAAGAAGTGATGAGAATGTTCATGCATTGTGAAGAGTGTAATCAACGTCACTGAAAAAGTTGTGCCAAAATTATTGAGTGGGAACCTAAACTGCTGTGTAAACCTTCACCAAAAACACAATATTATTGAAAACAATACTGAACGTCAGCTGTTTGGATTGAACTGTGTTTCGCTAAAAAGATATGTTGAAGTTCTAACCCCTGGTACTTGTGAATGTGACTTTAGTTGAAAACAGGACATTTGAAGATGTTTGCAGTTAGGTTGGGCACTCTGGTGGCATAATGCCTAAGGCATTTGACTGCTAACCAGAAGGCTGGCAGTTCAAACCCACCAGCCACTTCTTGGAAGGAAAATTGGGCAATCTACTTCTGTAGTGATACCACCTCGGAAACCCAAGGAGGGGTCACTATGAGTTGAATCTGACTTGATGGCAGTGGGTTTGGGTTTTTTTTGTTTTTGTTTTTGTTTTTGCAGTTAGGTTAAAGTTAGGTCATACTGAAGCAGGGTGGATTCTATTCTTATCTGATCAGATTATATCTGTGTCCTTATAAAAGAGGAGAAAATACATAAAACAAAGAGAGGAAGGATGCCTTGTGGCACTGCAGGTGCAAGCCAAGGAATGCCTGGAGCTACCAGAAACTAGGGGAGGGCATGGGACAGATTCTCCCTCAGAGCCTCAGAAGGAATCAACACAGCTGACACCCTGGTTTGGGACTCTCAGATTTCTATTTGTATTTGGGCAATCTACTTCCATAGTGATACCACCTCGGAAATCCAAGGAGGGGTCACCATGAGTCGGGTCCAACTCGACGGCACATAACAACAACAACAAACCACTCAGTTTATGGTATTTTCTTATGAAGCCCTAGGAAATTGATACATCAACTATTTACCACGAGAAATTGTTGGACCAGTCCCTGGAGAAGGACATCTTGCTTGGTAGGTCAGTGAAAAAGAGGAAGACCCTCAATAAGATGGATTGATACAGTGACTGCAACAATGAACTCAAACATAGCAGTGATTGTAAGGATGGTGCAAGACTGGGCAGTTTTCATTCTGTTGTAACACAGGGTCGCCATGAGTCAGAACCGGCTTGACAACACCTAACAACAACAACAACAACAACAACAAAGCTGATAGTTAGAGAAGTGATATGCTCAAGATTATACAGCAAGTTCTTGGAAGAAAGACCTGGTGATCTACTTTCAAACGATCAGCCATTGAAAATCTCATGGACCACAGTTCTACTCGGACCCACATGGGGTCACCGGAAGTTGGAATCGGTTCACCAGCAGCAGTTTTTGTTTGTGTGTTTTTATACAGCAAGTTAGTTTGTGGCTGAGATAAGAACACAGACAATTGCCACAGAAGGTGAGGATTGGAGGCGGGGAGAAGCATGTTCTAGACAGGCTGTTTATTATGAGGCTTTGCTTCCTGTTACTTAACTTTGATTTTAAAAATTAAGGACTTGTTTGACCACCAGTTTCTTGTAAACGTTTTCTTTCAATTTTAAAGATGCAACTCTTTAGTCATCTGCAACAAGGATTGCAGCAAGTGGAATACTCCCATGAAGCAGCGGTCGGCGTTTCCACTTTCCGCTGCTCTGGGGGTAAAGCACTGTTCTATGCTGAGATTTTTACCCTCAGTCTTGTAATTCACCTGGTGAGCACGAGTTTCTCTGTGGGAGATGTCAGGAGACTTTCAAACACGGGTTCTGCATCTTTCTGGGTGGTGGGTGTCAGGTGTGCCAGCAACATCACGTTGGGGATCTTCTGGGTGTGAGTGGAAGAACAAATGCCTACGGTCACCCAGTTGGCTCGGTTATGAAGGTAAATGGATTCACCTCTCCTGTTGACCTGAATGCAGAGAAGAGGAAGAAGAGTTTCCTGCTAAAGTACATAATCCCGACAACCCTGCTTACCTGAGCAGTGGAGGGAGGAGAGGGAATAAAAAGAAATGAATCACGACACATCTGTTCTTTCACTTGTTCATGTTGATTCTCAGAGATGCCTCAGTGAACAGACAGACTGGTTACTGGCCTATGGTGTTCTACTAGGGAAGGCACACATCAGACAATTAAGTACTTTTCTTTTTATATTTATTTTTTAATTTACTTAAGTGTCATACAGTTCAGTCAAAGTGTACATACAATTCAGTGGTTTTCAGAATATTCAGAAGTGTGCAGCCATCATCACAATCAATTTTAGAACATTTTCATTGGGCGCATTAACAGTCACTCTGTTTCCTCCCAACCTCCCCATCAGCCTTAAGCAATCACTAATCTGCTTTCTGCCTCTGTAATTTGCCTCTTCTGGACATTTCTTATAAATGGAATCACACAATATGTGGGCATAATGTTTTCAAGTTTCATTCATGTTATAGCATATATCAATATTTATTCCTTTTTGTGGCCCGTTAATATTTGATTGTATGGATATACCACATTTCATTTATCCATTCAGCAGCTGATGGACATTTGAGCTGTATCCACTTTTTGGCTGTTCTGAATAATACTGCTATAAATATTTGTTAAAAGTTTACGTGGATATATGTTTTCATTTCTCTTGAGTATATACCAAGGAACAGAATTTCTGGATCATTATGGTAACTCTGTTTTTAACCTTTTGAGGAACTGCCAGACAGTTTGACAATTAAGTACTTAACTATTATTTAAGATGTTGTGGTAGTTAAGGCTGTGTGTCAGTTCGGCTGGGCTAGAGTTCTGAGGGGCTGGGCAGCTGGATGTTGTTATTCCCGTGATGAGGTTAGTAATCAACTTCTTTGCGGAAGCTGCTGTGAGCAGCTCAGTGGCTACCTTCAGAGTGTGGCAGGAGCTCTGGTGGTGTGGTGCCTAAGGCACTTGACTGCTAATCAGAAGGCTGGCAGTTCAAATCCACCAGCCATTCCTCAGAAGGAAGATGGGGCAATCTACTTTCATAGAGATACCGCCCGGAAACCTGAGGAGGGGTTGCTATGAGTCGGAACTGGTTCGATGGTAGTGAGTTTGTTTTGTTCACACAGAGTGTGGCCTGCTTCCAGTATATAAGAAAGAAGATTTGAGGAAGCTTTTGGCACATCTGGATCCTACATTTGGCCATCTTCATCTCAGTGGCCTGCCCTGTCATCTGCTAACCTTGGGACTATGCCATTTTACTTGTGGATCTTGAGTTCATCAGCCCAGCAACCAGCACCTGCATGAGTTAGAGAAAGCCTCCAGTTCCAGTGGGTGGGGGCAGGGGGCAGAGCTGAAGGCCAACGTGGAGGGGCTTTCACCATGCTCTTAGAGCCGGCACTCTGAATTTGGACTTCTAGTCTCCTAAGCTGTAAGAAAATCAATTCATGTTTTAAAGCCATCCACTTGTGGTATTTCTGTTATAGCAGCACTAGAGAATCAAGACAGAAGTGTTACCAAGTACAAGTTCAGAGTGCTATGACAATGTATACAGGGGACTTGACTTAGCTTATGCTGGGGGTATGTGCTGGTAAACTTAACAATCGACTCTCAGAAGACACAGACACACACCAGTTTATTAAACATTTTACTGACATAAAAAATGAGAAGCACAAATAATAATGTACAATAGTCTTTAAGTGCCAAATAGCCAATTCATTCTCACAGAAGTCCTTACTGACTTTTGCCACTCTTTTTACTCATACAACCTCAAGTGTAACTATTAGTAAAATAATAAAAATAATGAGTTTTGAATATTTATTGCCTATGTTTTCAATATAATTTATTTCATTATCAGTTTATGTAATTTAATTTTTTATGGTTGTGTTTAACAATAGACTTGCAAACTTTCTGAACTCATAACAGTACATACTACAGATATGGTCCTAGAAGTCTCCCCAAAGAAGGGACTTCCAGCTGAGATCTGAACAATGAGGGAGAGAAACTAGCTGAGTGGAGAGGAGATTTTTCCAAGCAGATGAACAGCATATGCAAAAATCCAAAGTCCTAGAATCTTGGTCAGTGAGAACCCTTGCCTGTTGGCAGAGGAGAATGTGAAGGAAGTCAGGAAAGGTTTACATTTGGGTTTCAAGACCATACAATAACTGGTTCAATTGAAAAATGAATCTGCCTAAGGCATTTGACTGCTAACCAGAAGGCTGGTGGTTCAAACCCACCAGCCGTGCTCCGAAGGAAGACTGGGCAATCTACTTTCACAGAGAAACTGTCTCAGAAACCCAATGATGGGTGTCTATGAGTCAGATTTGATACGATAGCAGTGAGTATTTTTCTTCTTTTTTTCAGAAAGAGGTGGTTGCATACATTGTTGATTACCTGCTGAAAGCCATGGTCTTCTTCTTCCTGATTAACAGGATCCTAATTTTGTCCAGTAAGGAGGCCTCCTCCATATCTTGCTGGCCAGGACTGGGTCTCTTTGAAAGGTACATCCTTATAAGAAGGAGACTTTTCTCCCCAACACTATCTGACAATTTCCCTTGAGTCAAAATTCAGTTTAATCTCTAGTTGTGCCACAGATTTTATTTTTAAAATGTCTTCTAAATCTGTGTAAGAAGTTAGCTAAGGGACCTCCTGTGGCAGACTATTCTCAAAATCACTACTATCCTGTCATGTAATTTTGGAAGATAAAGATAATGACATAATGATAGATTATCAGGGTATCATTAGGACAAAATTTCTTGGTAAGAGTTTGGTGAGAAAATTTTAAACAAAGTACCTCAATTTTAACAGTGTAATTATTCTTGTTGTTGTTGTTGTTATGTGCCGTCGAGTCAGACCTGACTCATAGCGACCCCTCCTTGGGTTTCCGAGGCAGTATCACTACAGAAGTAGGATTGCCCAACCTTCCTTCCGAGGAGTGGCTAGTGGGTTTGAACCGCCAGCCGTCTGGTTAGCAGTCAAGTGCCTTAGCCACTATGCTACCAGAGCTCCCGTAATTATTCTAGGCTGCTTAAATTTCCAAAACTGTTCCCTTGATTGTGCCCCACATCCCTTTGGCATGTTTAAAACAATTCATCTCCCAACCTTTTCAGTTATCTTGGAGAAAATTAATTATTAACATTATGGGAAATGAACTCAGGTTTGGGTGTTATTTACCTGGATAAAGTTGCTCTCTAACATGGGAGGAGATGTGAAAGGGGCATACTCTCCCCCATTCAACATATTTTGAAGCTCCCCGGGCTGGTGGGAGTGTGGGAGGCCAAGGTCACCATGCTCGTCAGTTCTCGTGGTGGACGTCCTGTTGTTCTCCTCCATGGTGCTTACACAGAAACATAGACAATTGAGAGAATGGAAATGCAATGAATGGATATATAGAAAATTAAATGGAAGAATTGAACGGCATCACTCATTCATTCAACGAATCTTATCAACACACATGATATGCCAGGCACTGTACCAGGCATGGGAGATACATCTAAACAGGAGTGATGAGATTCTTGTCCTCATGTAGCTTACTCTCTATTGGGGAGATAGATTGCTATTTGTTGCCTTTGAGTCAATTCTGCCTAGGATATTGATTTTTATGTATTCTATTTCATTTTTGACAACTTGCAATTTTCCTAGATTCATAGTTCGTACATTCCATGTTCTGATTATTAATGGATGTTTACAGCTGTTTCTTCTCATTTTGAGTCATGCCACATCAGCAAATGGAGGTCCTGAGAGCTTTATTCTACCCGCATCATTAAGGTGAGCTCTACTCTGAGGAGGCAGTTCTTCCCCAATCATATTTTGAGTGCCTTCCAACCTGAGTAGCTCATCTTCTGGCACTCTATTTCAGGGCAATGTTTAGGGCTATTCAAAAGTGTTTCAGTAACATAGATGCAAAATTCTTCAACAAAATGCTAGCCAACAGAATACAACAACATATCAAAAAA